TGACTCCAGAAAGACTGTGCAGCAAATCCTTCAGAAAGTCATATCCAGACACATAATGATAAGGTGACTGGGAACAGCCACACTGGATTTGCTACAGATGCCTTGTGCCTGACCAACATGACAGCCTTCTATCAAGAAATGACTGGCTGTGGGGCAAGGGGAGAGCAGGAGATTTTCTTCACTTCCATAAAGTAAAATCATTAATAAGTCAGGCTTTTGACACAGGCTCTCATTGCCTTTGAGCAAACTGGAGAGATGTGGTTTGGATAGGTGAATTACTGGGTTGATGGAAAACTGGCTGGACTATGGGATTCTAAATGCTGGGATCATCAGTATTAAGATCAAGTGCTAGTTGGTCACCCTTGAAGCTTCTCATATTGATACTAAGGTGAATATTCTTAATATCCTCATTAATGACTAACCACACTTAATGATCTAATCACCATATCAAAGTTATCAAATTGATGGGCAATGCCAAAATGTACTCAGTGGTGGGATCTTGGATTTGGAGGAACCTCAACAGGTGGGAAAGGCAGGCCAACACCTATCTCAGGAACTTCAATTAAAGCAACATCCTACATCTGCACACAGAATAAACTCATACAACAGCACAGACAGAGGGCTGACTGAATAGAAATTACACTTGCAGAAAAGGATCTGAGGTCCTTTTAGATACTTTCTAACAAGTTTAACAGGAGACATCAGCAGATCTTTTTTTGCAACAAGGAAGACAAACTGCCCTCTGCCCTATATTAGCAAGAGTGTACCTCTCAGGTCAGGTGAGTACCTCTCATACTCTCCTGTCCTTGGCTCTGGAGAATGACTGACCAATTTAGGGATCAACACAAAGCTCTATCATACTGGAAAATGCCCAGTGGAAGGCCACCACAATGATTAAAGCTGTGTTTGTTCAATCTCAGGCAGACAAGGCCAGAGGGAAGGATCTCAGTGCTATCTTCAGCCACCTAATGAAGCTCACAGAAAAGAGAAAGCTGGACTCTTCTTGAGTATACAGAGCAAAAGGATGAGGGACAGTGAATAGACAAGTAATGACAAAAAAAATCTAATGTAACATTAGGAAAATTTTCACAATAAAAGTCAAGGGTCCAGAAAAGACAGAATTTCAATCCTTACAGGCATTTGATATGCTGGAGCATGGACATGACTTGGAAAAGCTGGATCTAACTTTGCTGGTTGACCCTGTCTTGGCCTGGGGGCTGAACGAGATAATCTCCAGACCTCCCACTGAGCCTAAATTCCTCTGATTCTACCATTGCAGAAAGTCAGTTTGGTACTCAAAAATTCATGGAGTTGTCTCCAGTGCAGATTAACCTGCCCAGAAGGTGTCCAAGTAACTAATTCTCCCCCTCTCCCCAAAGCGTTCTCTCATGCACACTCATATTTTGGGTGAAAAAGGACTCTGCACATATAAAACCAATTAAAAGAAATGAAAATACTGTGAAAGGTGGCTTAAAAGGAATTTAGGTTTTCTTCATAGTCCTAAACAGCATCAGCTGCAAGGCACAATGTTTGTGCTACCAAAAAAAAAGCCCAGAGATACACTTGTTACTTAAGCTTAACTCAGAAGTCTGTCATGTAGATTGTCTTTTTCTCCTTAGCAAGATCACTGTTAAACACTTAACAAACATTAGATAAGAATAGCAAATACAATTGTTTTCTAAGGGCTACCTGGAATGCCCAAATGCTATTTTGCTCTGTTTTCACCCAAATGTACCTACACTACTCATTATGTGATGGTTTTCCTAAGTGCTTCATTGAAACCAGACCTATAGCATGAATGAAACCTAAGCTGTACTTGCTGCATTTCTAAAAGTGAGCAGTAAAGAAAAACATTGATAGGGCAGCAAAACAGAATAAATAATTCTCAAATTTTGATTTGGTATTTTTGTTTCAAGTCTTGTCAAATGTACTACAAGACCACAGATTGAAGGTGAGCCTGACATCTTGAAAATAATACTGATCATTTTATACTTTAAAGATAAAAAACTTAAGAGACAGAACATTAAACACTTGAAAAACATGAGCAGGAGAGGAAATCTTGGGAACATCTTCCACTTGCTGCAAATAGATTAATTTCAATGAAAACTGGATCAAGACATGTACTAAAAGACCAATTCAAGTGCTAAACTGATTCTGGAACAGTAATTTATTCCAAAAAATTCAACCACCTCAACGATTTATAAGCCCTGAAAACATATACAGATAAAAAAGAATAAGATAGATTTTTGGGAACTGCAGGAGAGAACTGTTTAAGACAGATAGAGGTAGCCAGTGCTCAAGAAATGGTTTGTTTTGTAATAATGGTAGAAGCTTCTTACTGTGGGCAAAACTCCCTTGTGCTATAAAGCTTAATAGGTTTTATTTAAACCTACAGTTGCTAATTACTACTGGATTACTAGGACAGAAATTCATTGCCTTGTAAACTAATCTATATTTTAAATTAACAGACAAGTACTTACATAGCCAAGGTCAGCACATTAGACTTTCTGACCTAAAAGGTCCCAAAATAGCAGAATAACTAAGTAAAAAGGTGTCACAGGAAACCAATATGAAAAGCTCCTGCAGTTTTTAGGAACTCTGTTACATCATCACGTTCTCCCGCCCCATGAACGGGATGGTGAGCACAGGAAGCACCTGATGCTCGCCTCCTCCTCCTCCTCCTGCTGAGGGTGCTCCCTTCCCAGACACCTGCAGCAGCAAAGGAAAGCTGCTGTTTTTCCAGTCAGTGGTTCATGGAATGAGGACATTTTGATGTGAGAACATATGACCCACAAGGTTTGTAAGAGCTACTACTAGTTTTGGCAGCGCTCCACACAGTGGGGCAGTTTGTGTCTTTGACTAAAGAAATCACACTGGCTGGGGCATCACAGCAAGAAGGGCAAAATTCAGAGATCCATGGCAGTGTAAGAACTAATTCAAATATCACAATTCAAATATCACAATGGTGGCAAAGTCCTGGGTTATTGCAACAGTGATTTTTTGGTACCAATAACATGTAAGACTGAAAAAAATAATGCCTATCGAAGCAAAAAGGATTAGGTGAGAATAGGACAAGGAGCTGAAGGAAGCTTTTGTCAAGAATATAAAAAGCTTATTTAACTACCATGTTGATTTCCCTGTCACAGTATTCTCATCAACATTTTGCATCACTGAAATTTTCCTAAAATTAATTCATCAAATTGAGTTGGAGGTGGACATTACACACTAGAGAGGCCTGAAGAGCTGTCAGATGGGCCAGCTAGGAACCAGAGCAAGCCCTCCTTGAACCCAGCAGCCAGTGTTAGAAATTAGGCCAATTATCTGATTTTAGTACCTTTTCTTTGCCAAAAAAAAAAAAAAAAAATATTATATATTTCTAGTCATAAAAGCGTTACCTAGTCTGTAATGTATTAAAATTTGAACTTTGAAAATGGTAGTAGATGTGCTTATACAACTGGAGGGAGACAAAAGAAAAAATCACTGAACTTTCAAAAAAGAAGAAATTTAACTTTCTTTTGCTGCAGTTACTAATACTTGTCCACAAGAATACTAGAGAAAGTTCAACTATCTTGTGAAGATTTCCTGTGGAAAATCTGGAAATTAGGTCTAGGCATTTAAATATAAATACAGGATTTCACCCTATATTTACATGAAGATTTCAATGCATTCTCAATTACCAGTTTGATACCAATGGTCCTGCAACACCATCAACCTTCTTAAGGTTGAGAACTCTTCATAAAAATTTATGAAATTATTTTCACAAGATCACACCAAGAAGGTTTAAAACCATATTAGCATACAAGTACAACAACAAGGGCAAAACCATGTCACAGAACTATTAAAACCACAGCAAATATGGACAGTTAAGCTTATTAATACCTAAAGATTGCAAATAAATGTGCATTAATTCACAGTACAACATTACATGCAATATAATATATTCAACCCTGCTACATCAGCAGTGAAGAGAAAGATTACAACAGGAGAGCTGACAACTGCATTTCTCTAAATTCACACAGTCCTCATTTTTTCCTGTACAATACACATGCATTTTTCTAAAGAAATGGGTTATGAAAAATTCAATACATGTATGATTGTGGAAGACAAATTAAAACATTGGAAATATTTCAAAAGCTGAAAATCCTTTTTTTTTCAATTATTCATTCCATAAATAAACATTTTATCCATTTATTTCTTTTGTTCAGTTATTTTTGTAGATTAAAACTCCTTCTTACTGAGTATTTGCAGATATTACAGCTATAGAAATATGTATTTAATCCTATCTTTGTATTTTACAGATTGAAGAAACAATGTTCAAAATTGTGGTCTGCTAAAACTATGTATTTTTAATCTCTGTATTACATTAGCTTTTACTACAGCATAATTATTTTTAGATTTGAATCCCTCTTCACTAATTGTACCCAGTTGCACAATGCCACTCAAACTGAAAATTTAACATTTTAACTCATTTAACTTTTATAATTCATAGTACATTTTTCTGAATGTGCCAAGATTCAGTCAATGTTCCTCTTTACAAAAGGAACAGTCTTCCTCAAACTGTCAAAATCCAGAAGGTAGCCCTGAAAATTCTTTACCAATTCACATAATTGTAAAAATATTTACATCTGGCATTCAATTATTTTTACACCTAAGGTAAGTTTTTAAGATAAATTAGTTCAATGGGCACCTTAGTTCAGTTTGTACTGTCAATATCTAGTGGGTAACACATAAACACAACACACTGTATTCTTAAAAATAAATGTCAGTTTTAAAAGTGACACAAGTTAGAATTGTTAGGAAACTCTACTGCCAAAGGTACAGCTAAAAAATAGTTAACTAAAAGGTCAATACTGAAATATTCATAAATAAAAAGCATTTATTTCCAGTTTTGATGGCAGTCATCACACATTCTGTATTTAGGACAGCAATCTAGAAATTTAGGCTTTATGATGTGAAAATGACATTTCTCAGTTTATGCAAATTAATTTCAATTTTGTTACCTTATTAACTTCCATGATTTCCCTTCTCTCTTCAGTAGCAAAACGAAGCTGACTTGCAGCACCACGATCATCATGCTTGGAGCCATCTTCTTCAACATATGGAATAAGTTGCTGTGAAGACAAGAAACATCAGCTTTAGTTAAAAAAAAAAAAAAAAGGAAAAAAGAGGAAAAAAAAAGAAATTAAAAAAAATAAAACCCTCAAATACTCAAATCCAGGAAATACATATGGTACTACCATTTTCTCCACAGGTTCTAACTACCCAAGAGAAAGTGGAGACAAGCCTGCTTGCCACCTCAAACCTAAAGGCCTTGCAAAGACCTCAGTTGGTTCTCCAGGTAAACAATGGCTTCCAAAAGACACAATCTCACACACTACCAAGCCTTGACCAAAGAAATTTTGTAACTGCAGGCAGAAGCCAGTCTTTCCATTTTAAGATGTTTGTCATAGATAATCCTTGTAGCTGAATTCTGCAGATTGGGGTTTTAAAATTCACTATTCCACACTAAGAAATAAAACCCCAAACATAAAGTTCTCATTATCATAAGTCATTTTAGTGATATACTGAACATAAATATGACTGGCTTTACACAGGTACTTGGCTAATACTCTAGTTATGATCTGCTGTTTTAATGAGCCTCTGTTTGGCTGCTCTTAAGACCAGGCCCACAGTTACCTAAAATGAGTTTTTCTGTAAGTATTTCTCACCATGGTGTCCTCAGACACACAGAATCACAGTTTGGTTTAGGCTGGAGAAGACCAAAGTGCACTGTCTTTTTTGTAAAGCTTGGACAAAGCCAAAATTCCTTGATGTAAAATTTCTAAATGAATACTACTCTATGTTTCCTTACTAAAAAACAGATCAAAAAGAAATATACTACATACAAAACAAATACTTGTTTCTGTGTCAGAACACTCCCAAGCTATTAACAATTTCTTAAAGGACAATACCTCCACAAAGTCCATAGTCTGGTCTGACATTGTTTTTTCTGTCCTGTACTATGCAAAAGTACATCCATGTTCACAAACATATTGCAGACACATGGAAGACTGATATTGATAAAAGTGAGCAAGAAGACATTAGTTTAAAAGCCTGGGAGCAAGTTGCTCATCAAGTGCATATGAACTTCTTACTTAGGTTGCGGTGCAATATTACAAAGTGTTCACTGCCTCCAGCCTCTGATGGAAAACATACTTTGATTTATACCACTAAAAATGTAATTTCCTTCTATACAAAAATTTTTTGCAGCCACTCTTATTAAGCTTAGCAAAATGGGCAAAAGCTACCACACTAAACAATGCTGTGAAAAAGTGGCAAATGTTCACCACTTACTACATTTGCAGACCATAAAAAAGAAGTAGTAGGGCTGCCATATGCTCTTGGAAAAAACTCTGATGGAAAAATAAAGTAGCACTCAAAGAAGAACACTTCTTTAAAGCCTCCCTATCTTTCAGAAAAGATGATATATAAAAAAAACTAAACAAAAAACAAACCTACCAAGAAAAGCTGAACTATACCCAATACACAAAAAAAGCAGGAAATTTAATCTTTGTAGGGAGATCTCCTTCACAATTATCTCATGCCTTGCTATGTTGGTTAACAAAAAGTTAACAATACTTATAACACATCAGTACACATTACCAAAAATTATGAAAACATTTATATCAATAAAAATAGAATAAGCAATACTAGTAGGTATAGACTTCTCTTGACTCTGCAAAAAAAATAGTTTTGTTGATATTCTGTAAAGACATGGTTAGAATATCAGCCACTAAATAATACAATTGAGACTATTATTGAACTACTGGAAGAAGAATTTAAGAAAACTGAGCCAGGAGGAATGGTGTGTCACTGTCATTCACTCTAACCAATAAAAACATGAGGAGGCAGGCATCTACTAAGTTCAGAGAAGAAGAGACTGAGAAGATTGAAAAAAAACCCCAACTATCAATAAAAAATTCTGCTGTGACTAAGTTATCAGTGAAACCTTGCATTTAAAATGCCTGAAGTGACTACTTATTTTCTCTATGGAAATTCTTTTCCATCCTGATGATGGGAAAATAATGTGAAAAGTTATAGAAAAATACAAACCAAATGCCACATCATTCCATTGTTAAAAGGGAAAATAAGACACATGAAAAGCTTTTAAAGAGGACACAAGTTCAATACACTGTGAAAACAGGATTTATTTTCTTAAAGGGGAAAATTTACTTATTCCCCTGCTTGCTGTCAGGTTTCCAAATACATTTTTCTGAAACCCTTGTCAAAAGTCAGCAACTGTAAACTGAAATAACAGTCTAGAATGGACTGCACAGAATGGACTTCATTTCTTTACTCCTATTCAGTTAAGAGACTCATACATCAAATATAATGCCTGTATGATTAAAATTCAATGGACAATCAAAAGTCCATTAATAAAGTTGCCTCAGAATCCAGAGGTCAGCAATTAAAGAATTTCAAAGTTCTGGTTAATATAGAGCAGGAAAAACTCAAACTGTAACAAAACCCAGGGTTTACAAGTATTACTAGAAATTATAAACAACTTATGAGGAAGGTGGGATTTAAGATTTTATGAATGACAGCAGTGTTATTAAGAAAAACTTTGGCAAATCCTCTGTGACGGTGGTCACAAGGGTTTTGAGGTGAAGAGAGAGGCGAGAATGTTGATTCCATGTTCAGAAGGCTTGATTTATTATTTTATTATATATATATTACATTATAACTACACTAAAAAGAATAGAAGGAAAGTTCTCAGCAGCTAGCTAAGCTAAGAATGGAAAAGAATGAATAACAAAGTTCTGTCTCTCGGCAGAAAGCGAGAACAGCTCTGCCGTGAGTGCTCAGTAAATCCAAACATCCACAGGACACCAATCACAGGTGCACCTGTTGCATTCCACAGCAGCAGATAACCATTGTTTACACTTTGTTGCTGAGGCCACAGCTTCTCAGAAGGGAGAAAAATCCTACAGAAAGGATTTTTCACAAAAGATGTCTGTGACAATCCTCCTTCCTGGAAGTTTTATGTTGTAACTTTTCTACCACCACTGCACATTTAAGTTTGGTTCACACTGCCCAGCAGGTTAGGAATGGCTGAGTGAGGGAACTATGGAGGCACAGATTATTGGCTAGATAAAGTAAATAATACTTATTACTCAGGAGCCAGGCTGACAGGTGAGAGCTTGAAGCAGGCTTTTTACCACTTTTTTGCACTTGTAAAAAATTTGCCCTGATCTTCTTTTTTTCCCTAGGAGAAACAAATTGGTGAAAGTACCAAGAAGCCAGAGGGAAAAAAAGTTAAAATTTTAAATTAAGTCTGCTTTCTTAGAATCACAGAATCAATTAGGCTGGAAAAGATCTCTGAGACCAAGTCCAACTTATGACAGAACACCATGTCAACTAGACACTAAGTTTCACAATCTTTCAACAAGCTCTAATTAATAAACAGAATTCAGTCCACTGAATAATTCCAGTAACATTAAAACTTGTTATGAGTTTACTACAACTGAGGAAGATGGATGATTTGCTATCCAGAGTGGTTATTCTGATTTACAATTCACATATAAATAAAGATACTTACTTCTATGGGAACAGGATCGAGCCCAGCACAGTTTTCATTACATTTGTCATAGACTAATCTCAGTTTTCTGAAGAGTATTGATAGCTGGCGGAGATGTTCCTGCAGCTTTGCCAGTCTGTCTTGATATGTTGCAGTATGATATGTAACACCATTTGGTAACTTAGAGAACCAAAACATTAAAAAATTTATGTCACATGAAATGAATAAAGATATCAGACAGGTTTTTGTATATTTTAGAATAAGACAAATCACACTTTTCTTATAGCAATCACTGAATTTTTTATTTTCTTTACTAGAAAAATTACATATTTTATATGTTCAATCACTGCTGTCTAACACCCTCATGTATTCTACACTTTTGGTCATCATCAATCCCTCTGACTTTTCAGTGAGTGTCTTCACAATGCTTAAATATGACACCATTGTGACTGGGGTTGAGATTTTTCGTCTCAACCCCAGGTCATTCAATTCAGTGACACAAGAGTTATGAAAATACAGAAAGAATGGGAATGATTATTTATCTTGTACTCTTCACAGTGAAAACACAACAGAAATTTGTATGTTTTCTCAGTAAGTAGACCCAAATAAGGATTATGTTGTTTTTACTAACAAAAAAAAAAAGTTTTAGGTGAAAAATATTAGAGAAAAAGATCAATGAAAATTCCTCTAAATTTACTCCCCTTATGTTAACATAAGCAGAGAAACATAACTGACATATGAACAGACATCATTGTACATAAAAGAAAACACAGTTACTAAGCATATTGAGAGGTTTTTTTATTGGGAGGGCAATGACAATTCAGCATTTCTGAATTTCACTTAATGTACAGGACTAAACAAATATATTAAGAGTCGCACTCACTTCTTGAACCAATTCTCCTTTTCAGAGCAGTTTGACTGAGTTTTCCAAACGTCCTAAGGTGTCTCCTGAATCTATACATACTGTGCATCGGTGATAAAAACATGGACGCTGAGTGTATGAACAGTTGTTTCTCACCTGCATGTTCCTCAGTAGCTGGAAGATCTCCATGGTTCGGAAGACGATGTCCTGCACGGTCTCCTGGCCGATGCGGCAGAGCGAAGCCGTGTTCACCTCGCGGGCAGCCTGAGCCTGGGTCCCGGAGAAGGCGCCCGGCGGCATCCCTGCCCCGGCCAGGGGGGGAGTGGACATCTCCCGCCTCGACCCGTCACACCAGGGCAAGCTGCACAAGAGGTGATGATGGAACGATCAGATGCTTGTTTGACTCTATCCCAGCAAACTTCTGTAGGGTGGCAATCCCACTCCCTTTCCCCGTACGCTGTTCTGCCCAACAGCTGAGGCCGGCTCAGGGCAGCACCCCTTGGACACCGCTGCCTGAGGCACCGCAGCTTTGCCGGGCGCTGGAACTGGGGGTGCTCCTCACGCACCTCCCTCCCCTCAGAGCGGTCAGTGCGCCGCCCCTGCCCCGACCCGTCCCAAGGGGAACACGACAGAGGTTTTTGCTCAGCTCCAGCAGACAGAACCGCAGCCCTGGGCTCCGGTACCCGCCCGACCACTCCTCCCTCGGCTGACCCACCGGCTCCCGGGGCGAAGCGGTGTCCCGGCTCCGCAGCGTTCCCCGGCCCCGCTCCGCGCTGCAGCCGCTCCGGACGCGCCGGTCCCGCCGCACTCCCGGTGCCGCCGCACTCGGGCCGTGCCCCGGATCTGCCGGCGGAAGCGCTTCCCGGCGCCCGGCGCCGTCACAGCCGGCGGGCGGCAGCGGCAGGCGGGGCCGGGGCCGGCTAGGGGCCGCCCCTGTACCGCTGCTCTCCGTCGAATATCTCGCTCGGGAGCCGGGGCGTTTTCCTGGATTGCTGAATCCAGTGCGGGTTTGCGGGCAGGTCAGCCGCCATCTGGGCTCTTGAGGTTGAAGAGTTTGGTCAGAATCCCCAGGCAGATTCACACATTCCCGCCACCCCTCTATCAGATCATAGAACAGTTTGGGTTGACTTAAAGATCAATTAATTCCAATCCCCCTGCCAGGGGCAGGGGCGCCTTCCCCCAGCCCAGGTTGCTCAGAGCTCCGTCCGCCCTGGCCTTGAACGGGGCAGCCCCGGCTTCTCGGGCACCCTGCTCGGTGTACCGCCACCCTCGCAGCTAAGGATTCCTTCCTAACACCTAAACCTACTGTTTTTCGGTCTGAAGCCATTCACCCTTTCTTGTCACTGAAGTTCAGGATGAAGAGTCCCTCTCCACCTTCCCTGCAGGGCCTTTCATGTACTGGAAGGCTGCTATGAGGTCTCCTCTCCTCCAGGCTGAACAGCCCCTACTCTCAGCCTGTCTTTGTAAGAGAGATGCTCCAGTCCCAGTCACACTGATAAATGGCTGAATATCTGTTTTGTAGGATGAGTATGTATTGCCAGTATACACTTTGAAACCTGTGCTAATTTTATATCTTTATGGGTGCACTGCTATTCCTTCCTGCATAGATACATTATTGCTAATACAGAAAAGCCTCAACGCTTGGCCTTTCTGTGTCACAGAATTTGCATGGATATAAACCAGCTCTGAGTGCTTGTACCACACGAGTACAATTGAGGCATTTTTGAAGCACAGACAAGGCCTCCTATGTGAGGGAGAGGGAGCGCCCTCAAAAAGAAGCCAGGCAGGTTCTGTGAGGCTTGACAGGAATGAGCTGTTTCTAGAATAGCTAATGCTAACTGTCTGCCTAACAAAAACAATTCTTCATATGCAAAAATCAATAATTACCAGAGTTTCACTGTCTTTTCTAATTGACATCATATCTAGGATTCTGTATTTGAGTGATTGTGGCAGTAAGTATCTAAATATGCAGAAGAGGACATTTATGTACCTGCAACTTCTAATGAATTCTCTAGAACAGTAAAGGTAGTTGTGCTGTATTAAAACTGATCTTACAAATGATTTTTTGTGTGAAATATTTTACATTTGTAATGCTGTAAAAATAAATCAGAATTTTGATGCATGGTACACAGCCTTTGTTAAAGAAAGAAAGAAGCAGTCAATGAACATTCAGGAACAGAATGATATAAACTTGCTGTCAGAGTCATTTTGCTTCATAAAACATTTTTTACTTCAGAAACAGACTACTGAGGAGAAAGAGCACCCCCTTTCCTAAACTGGAGCTTTTTGCTGCCTGGCTAAGTTCTCCCTAGTACTCTGCCTTACTCAAGCTGCAATATAAATAGCCTTATTTTAGCGAAGATCTTAGCATAAAGGATACAAATGGTTACTTAAGCAGAGGGGGAAAATGGTTTACAGAAATAAGAGGAGGATATTTTCAGAAAGCAAAAGAACATCCCATGGTGTCTAGCTAGACAATGCTTGGGAAGAGCAGCCTCTGGAGAACTTCAAAGGGCTTGTTTGAAGGTTTGCTTCTCATATCACTGTACACTAAGAAAATGAGTCAAGAACTGTTCAAGTGTTGAGCACAAAGGATATGGTTTTCATCTTCTGGTTGCATGCCTAAGAGCTCTGCTCACAATGCTTAACCTACTGCCTCAAATTCAATGGCAGAAGAGTAATGAGGGATTCAGACCACCTACTGTTCAGGGCTGCTGACAGACTCCATACAGAGTGGTATCCTGCAGTATAGGGCTGCCATGTACGGTACAACTGAAATACAGAGCCAAGTCTGCACATGGACAGTGCTAGAGAATGTTCCTGGGAGGCCTAATATTCTTCATTGCCACTCTCTGGAACCATCTGAGTCTGGGATTTCATTCCCAGACAAAGGAATCTTCTTTTAGATAAGAATGTTTTTCTGGTCGAAAGAGATAAGGATGAATTTGCTTTTAAAAGCAATCTATTAAGCAACCACTCTCTGTGTTCAGTGTGGGCCAAGTGGTTTCATCTGGAAGGTGTCCAAATCAGAGATCATCTCTTATATCCATTTCAGTTTCTGTGGCATCAGTTCAAACCAGTGTCTTAGGATTCTGCTGCCTTTGTTGTTGGCTTGTAGGGAAGCTACCAGAAACCTAACAAAGAGCCTATGTCTGTGTGTAATACTCTAGTCCAATCAACTTTAACCCAAATTTGAAATTTGAAGGACTCTTTATAGAGTAACTACTTTGGTGATTATAATTTTCACCATAATAATCGCTTTTGAAATTTTTTTTGCATTTTACAATATACCCTGAGCAACTCTAAAGATGGTTTTGCTGTGCTATTTAGGAGAGTAAAAATCCTCAGAAGTGAAGGAAAAGGATAATTGTTGCTTTTGTTCAAATAATTTTCTCTAAATCAGTTGATAACACTTGCAAGGCGATGTGAATCATTCTGTTTAAAAATAAACAGAACTGGTGAAATTCCTGGATTATCATCTGTTTTCCTCTAAGAAAAAAGAGTTTACTCCCTCACAAGTCTCCTCACACTATTCCTGAAGCAGCAGTGCTTTGTTACTGCTCTCAGGGTGACAGATGGGCTTAGGGGAAATGTGTTAACCACGGAAGGACTTTCATTCTCCACCCTGTCCCATTCAGTGTTTATGTGTTCATTCAAGGAGAAATAATGGGACTTTGTGGAACCTTTGCCAACAATAAACAGGCATGGCACAGTTTTACTGTTACCAAGCTGTGGTACATAACAGTATGGCACATAACTTTTTTTAGTATGTGGCCAAGACTTAAGGTAGGTGGAGTTTAATTCAGCAGAGATTATGTTCATAGACCAGAGGAAACAATTAATGGCTGTGATTAGGTGAGGAGGACTGGGTGCTTGAGGAGTTTTTTTGTGTGTGACAGGGGGGTTTCTGCAATGTTTTTTTCCACATCCAGGCATGTATTTTCATGAACTATGAAAACATCCATTTAGAGGGAAGCAGGGCCATCTGGTAGTGCTATATAAGATGGGATAAATTAGACAGGCTCAGAGCCCAAAGCATCAGAGCAGAGAGTGATACTCCATGCCCTTACTCAGTAGGGGTGAACACAGCTGTTTTGTGGACCAAGGGGAGGCTGGAGTTGAGCAATGAAGAGCTCTCTGCCTTTACAGGACTCTCTTGCACAGCCCTTGGTGCTGTAGGTGATGGAAGGACAGCAAGGAGAGCGAGATGGAAGGGGCTCAGCCTTGCTGCTTGCCTCTTGCTTCTGTCATCTGTGTACCCATAAGCAAACGTGTCTATAGTTTGTGTGTGTTAATGGCACGGCCTGCTGGGCCACTGAGAAGCAGGGTCATGCTGACTGGGTTTCATACATGTAGCAACCAACTTCAGTGGTTTGAATTGGGCTGCCACAGCCCAACCTCTGAGTGTTCACAGAGTGGCCAGAAAAAATGATCAGGAAACCACTGATTTCAAAATGGCTTTATGTGGTGGGGTGGCTGCCAGGTGCCCACCACACCACTCCACCGTCACACTCCCTCATTCTCCGCCTCTCCCTCCTCAGCAGTACAAGAGGAGAAAACAGGATGGAAACCTCGTGGGTTGAGGTCTGCATGTGGATGCACATCCTCCCTCATCCTTGGACAGACTGGTCCGAATGGCACTGCAGCAGCTTAGACACTGTCAGGCTTGCATTGACTCCATAAGCCAGGGTCAGTGTGTGGGTTACTATATTTACTATATGGGTTTACTATTTCCCTTAGGATAAACATAAGCATTAACAGAATATGGGGAAGTCAGATGCAGAGTGACAGTCCAGCCTTCATGTGGGCTGTTTAAAACATGATGTGGCTTTTGGTTCTCACTCTGCAGTGGGTCCTACACACCATTTCTTGATCTTGACAGGCATGTTGTATCATCAGTTCTCGCTTTCTCTGTAGTTTCCTTCTTGACATTCAGCTCAGGAATGTTGCCCTTGGCCCATTTCATATTCCTTTAAACACCAAAGAACTAGTTTTGTAGTCAGTTGTTTCTGGCATGAAGATTGTTATCCTTCCCCATGTTTTATGTGATGGGCTGTTATGCCCGGCAGCTGGTACTCTCCCTGTAACTGTGACAGAAGAAAAATGAGCAGTGGGACTTATTCCAGGGTATCACAGTGCAGAAACATCCTGGTAATTTTTCTGCTTTTGCAGTTAATTTGCTTGTCTCTGAAGAGACATGTGGGAGTCTCAGCATAATCTTGACATTGTGGCTTCAGACCCAAACCCAGAAGCAGATGTATCATGTCTCCTTTGGTCTCTCACTACCCAGCACCTCTCCTGCAGCCTTCAATTGTATTGGTACTCCAAGTGCTGAGACTGAAAATTATTTAAACAGAACAGTACCAAGTTTCTCTCCTTGCCTCAAAATAGCTGTGGGCAACCTGTGTCTTTTTGTACTGGGCTTTTAGACATTTCCTCCCCACCCCAGTCCTACTTTTCCTGAGCAAATGGTCTCATATGGGACTAGCTGTTTGGAAGAAGAGGCATTCCAAATCAAAGTTTATATGAACTCTATGTCTTCATCAGCTAAATGTGCATTTGTGATGCCTGTGGATAAATTTTCAGCATGCTTGTTTGATGACTTCTCTTGGGGCTTGCAGAAAAATGGCTTGGAAATGGAACATTTGCAAAGAAGCAGATTCTGGCAAGAGAAAGCATTACAATGAAATGTAAAATATGTGCACTGTAATTTATACAGGCAACTAGCTTCTGGAAAACTTGACCTCTGGCCAGCAGAGGACAGAAACATATCCAAAGAGACCACTGAAGCAGTGACTGGTACC